GGGTGCAGAGATTACTTAAAAATAAATAAATAAGCTTTGTTTTATTATTATTTTTAAAAGATTTTATTCATTTGACAAAGGGTGGGAGGAGAGAGCAAGCACAAGCAGGGGGAGCAGCAGGCAGAGGGATACATTAGTATTATTGTCTAAAATATACAAAATAAAATCTATATTTGTTTGATAACACTTTTATTTCACATTTTCATTACTCTTTAGTGTTCTGGTTTATAAACCTCAGTTCAGAGGTAGTATATGTTAAGTATATATGTGTGCCTTATCTGGGATCATGACCAGAGGCCAAGGCAGCCACTTAACCGACTGAGCCACACAGATACCCCAATAAATAAACTTTAAAGAATTTTTTTATTTTTATTTTATTTATTTATTTTTTTAGAATTTTTTAAATAAGTAAAACTGTCATCAAGTACAACCAATGCTTGATCCTGTGGTCTACTCTTAAGGGAACAAATAACCCAGTTTAAAAAGCACATGTTAATAATGCTGTGTTCATATCCGACTCTTGATTTTGGCTTAGGTCATGATTTCAGGGTCATGGGATCAAGCCCCACACTGGGCTCCACATTCAGTGGGGAGTCTTGCCTGAGATTTTCTCCCTTTCCTTCTCTTTCCCCACTCTCCCCACCGCACGCAAGCATGTGCGTGCGTACTCTCTCAGATAAACAAATAAATCTTTAAAAAAAGATGCTGCTGCTGTCATTTTCAAAGTTGATACTTTTAATCCCTCTATTTGGTGACAAAAGCACTCTGAGCTCTTATTTTCACTGTTGGATTAAATTTTATCTGTGGTCAGGAAACACATTTGGGAGAAACTGACCAGAGTAAAACCACTATTCCTGGCTTTCAAACAAAACAAAGATATTTAATTTATATATGGAGATCAAAACCTTCATCTGAGAGAAGGGGTGAGCAAACTATAGCCTGTGAGCCAAATCCTGCCCACAGACTGTTTTTGTAAATAATGTACTGGAAAGTTGCCATGCCCATCCATCTACATACTGTCTGCAGCAGAGTTGAGAACTTTTTTTTTTTTGAGAGTAATTTCAAGAGAAACCATATGACTTGTAAAGTATAAAATATTACTACCTGGCCCTTTACAGGTAAAATTTGCAGGCCCCTGCCCTAGCATCTTTCGCCAAGCTCTGTCTACTAATAAATAATACATACACAATAATTACACAAAAAACTCTTTGGCCTTTCCCTAATATTTGTTTATAAACATAAACACCAACTTTTAATCACATTGGACTCTAAAATTTAGTGACTCCTGTACAAAATGCTTCACATCTCACTGACCAATATATATTTTTATCTTAAATATTTTAGATTTTAAAAGGTAAACTGTAGTTTCCTTCGCCAACAGCGACCAATGTTTTCAGTTTGTATATTCTGCAGATAGATCTGTTTTTGGAAAGAAGTGCTATGTTAGAATAAAAACAATTCAGAAATTCAGTTCTGGTTCAAAAACAGTCAAATATCAAATTTACACTAGGGGGAAATTATGGCTGATACTTAATTCAGTCACAATGATTTAACAACTGAAGAGAAAATCAGTTAACACTGCTTTTCAAAACAGGGAAATTAAGAGACTGAACAAGAAGACTGATCTAAAAGACCTCATACATATATATATTTACATATAAAATCAACAGTTTTAAAATATATATATATATAAATATATTTGTATGGTAGATAACATTGACATTATTTTGTCCAGGAAGCCTTCATTTATTCTTCAGAGTATGAGCCCTCTTATGTGTTCTCACAGCACCCTTAATTTTCCTTAATCTTGCACTTACCATGCTTTATAACACAAATGCTTATTTATTTGTATGTATATAACTGCTCTACATTTATAATCTCAACAAGGGCAGAAATCACATCTTTTCTTTATCACTGCATCCCTAATATCTAATACAATGATAAGAACATAGTAGGCACTCAGTAAATATTCATGAAATGAATAAAAAAGAAATCACAAGTTCAAAACAACCTATACATTAGTATTATTGCCTAAAATATACAAAATAAAATCTATGTATGTTTGATCATAACACTTTTATTTCACATTTTCATTACTGTTTAGTATTCTGGTTTATAAACCTCAGTTCAGAGGTAGTATATGTTAAGTATATATGTGTGCCTTATCTGGTTTATTTAGGGGTTCTTTACCAAAAAAATTTTTTTTTGAAAATCACTGATTTAGAAGATTAGCATGATATGTAGCAATTAGGCAAGAGAGACCAAGTCAGTCTTCTCTTTCAGCATCTCAGTATCTCTACAATGTACTGTGTCAAAACTCAAAAAACTACTAAATAACTGAACGACTTGCCAATAAACTCATTATCTGGTAATATATCCATTCCTGACAGCAAGTACCAAAGCTATCTTTCTTATAATACCATTTGGAACACTGGGAGTGATTTTTAACTTAAAAGCTTTTGAAAGGACATGACATAAGGGAGGAACCAGTCATCCACATATCCTGAAATGATTAGTAAACACACGGTCCAATTCTCTAGTTCCTAATCCTTGACCAGTAGGTCAAGAAGGCAACCATTTGAGGAAACTTCTAATTTTCAACCATGGATCAGAGAGAAGGAATATATTCACAGCTGTCATACAGAAGGTGTCTTTGAAAATACAAGTTTCTGAGAAGCAACTTGGGTTTCACTAAAAATGAAAATGAATCATCCCTGATGGTTAATATCCACAAATATCTATTTATGGCAGATTAAGACCAAGGAAAGTTTTCTTCAAAGTAAGGAGTAGGAGAAAGATAAGTGATTGCCCTAAGGACTCCCAGTAAGAGATGCTTCAGACATTAATAACATCATTCTGCTTTTGAGTATGTAACAACTTCAAACAACAACCCAGTTTCCTCATAACCCAATAAATCAAATTGAAAGTAGCAGTTTCCCATCCAAATGGTGGTAGTGGTGGTAACAAAATCAGTGCCTTATGAATGTGGAATATTACATATATTATATAATTTGAATAATACATTAATCCTGGGAAACTATCAAGGCCAGTATTTTAATCCTTTTTTTTATAGATAATTAATTCTCCACTTACATATATGATAAAGAGAAAGACTTGTTCAAAATTACACTGATAGGAAGCAGCAAAAATGGTCTTTTAACAATAAAATGCTATCTGCAATTATGTAAGTATGAACCTCTAGATCTAGGGGCATAAAATAAAAACAAACCCCTTTCTAAACATGTTCTATTACCATACCCACTAAGAGAAGTACATTAAAAATGGCAGGGACTTTGGAAGTAGATTTGTATTTGTATTTCAACTCTGTTATTTATTGCTTTATGATCTTTGACATTTAGATTAGGGGGCAAAATATGAACTATACAGAGTTTAAGAAGTTAAATGAAGACTATATGTCAAGTGCTCACATGAATTAATGTACAAGGGAGGTTCTAATCTTGGCCACTGTTAAAATTATTTCCTCTTCCCTTTTAGCCAGCAAGAACATCGGATCCTAGTATCTAGCATGGCTCCATCAAAAAGGTCTCTGGAGACGAAGCCCCATAGGGTTCTACCTCAGTACACGTTGAGGCTTCTGTAGCTAGGCAAAGAACTTAAGTTACTTGCTCAAGTTCAGTCCTTGTGAAAAAAAAGTTCAATTTCCCCTCCTTCTCCCACCTTCTCCTTAACTTGTGGTAAAAGATACAGCTAAGGAAACAATTATTTTTTAAAGGAGTAATAAAGACAAGCAGATAAAGAAGTGAGAGAGTGAATAATTATTTGGCAATAGGGTCCAGCTGACAAAGGATGGTTCACTGAAGTAACAGGAAAACAGAGTCCAGAGGAAAGAAAAAAATCTAATTAATCTCTTGAATCCCTGTCTAGACAAAAGGCATAGAGAAAAGTAGAGACTCATCCTAAGATAGAGGATCTTAACAGCAGTTTATTGCAGAATCCAATTAACCCTAAAATTCTGCAAGAAAGCCTTGTTTTGGGAAAGGCAAAAGACAGAATGACTTGTTTCCCCACGGAAAGAAATTGCAATCATCTCTTCAATTATAATAAGAGAAATGACTATTTTACTAGGAATCTTGAACATATTCAGTACCAAAGAAAAAAATAAATTCAAGAAGTTTAACTGAGGAAATACCCAGGAACCTCACTAAAAGAATAAGAAGGATTATCTCTTTTATCCCTTAACATTTACCTTAGTACTAGGCAAGAAGGGTCTGAAAATGCTCAAGAAGCTAAGTAAGGAGAGGAAACTAAAGATTAAAGGTTCAAATGGGTTTTTTAGTGATTCTAGAGATAAGAAACATATGCTTCTCCCTTAGGTCATGTCTCCCAAAATAGCTTCTCAAGAATACCAAATGGCATAACAGAGATATACCTACCAGCTGTCAGGGATGTCTCAAATCCATCTTTAATGAAACAGCTGAGACTCTACTTCTTCATATAGCTTTGAACTGCTACAAGTGTAAAGGGTACTATTTCTTACACTGGGAAGAAGGGCAGGAAAGAACAATAGGCAAATTAATGAATTATATATGGTTCCAATTTCAAGTTAGTCGTTTGTTTCAAGTGGAATGTTCTACTTTGATTGAAACCATTAGTACCCAATAACAAAAGAACTTGAGTTTAAATATTCATAATCACAACTAGGATGCAATCTCTCTCATATAATAACCACTTATAAATGACAAAAATCATATTTAAACTAACAAATTATGTTCTTCACAAGGAAATGTAAGAATTCTAATTCATTAGTATGCTATTGTTCTGCCCAACTACAGACAAGTTACCTACAAATGCCTAACAAAGTCAAGTAAGACCAAAACTCCGAAGTATGTATTATTTTTAAAAGAAAAATTTAGATAACTTTCTAAATATCTGTAATCTATATCTCTTATGCTAACCTAAATCTATAATATTAATGTTAAAATAAACATCATCAATCTGTTAGGCAGCAACGAGGAAAATAAAAGAACTATTGGACATACCCTATGCAATATTTCTAAAACCTTTAATGCAGTATGAAGAAAATTGTTGAAAATTCTTCTTTCAGAAGGGGGAATGCCGATCTTGTAGAGTTTCAAAAGATGTACCACAACTTCCTTAAAAAGTTCTACAATCTTGAGGAATAGTGGAGGTTCAAGTACTGACCACCAGTTTTCTGTTATTAAAGGGTGAACATACAAATAAAATGAATTTTTTTTAAATCACAATTTTCAAAATCATACAAGACTTTTCTTCTAAAAGCAGTAGTCTTAACCCTTTCAAAATCCCAAGAAGATCAATTTAACACAGTATTTTATGTAACATTTCTAGGGTTTACAGACACCATCCTACTCTCAAGTTAAAGAATGCCGTTCTAAAAGCTCTCAGAAACAACAATAAAGAAAGATCTACTGAATTTATTTCTTGGCTTCCTACATTATATTAAAAACTCACTACTATACCTAACATTAAAATCAGTTACTAAAAAGTGCTTTGGGGGTGGGTACCTGGCTAGCTCAACAGGAAGAGCATGTGACTCTTGATCTCAGGGTCAGGAGTTTGAGACCCATGTTGGGTGTACAGATTAAAAACAATAAACTTGAAAAAAAAACCCACACCACATCTTTAAAAAAAAAAAAGTGCTTTGAAAATTAGAATTTTTAAAGATTCTAAAATCCCAATATTTAGGGATCTTTCCAAGTTATATCTTTCAACTTAACATAAAATTGAAATATTATGAAGTACCACCTTTAAAATGCAAGGTAATCCTAAAAACTGGATACTGAGAACAATGTAAAGTATTAACATGTCTGTTCTTCCCCACAATCACTATTTGTTTGTAGTTATTAACTACAAATACCATAATCTTATGAAGCAGGCAGAAATACAAAACCTTTTGACAACATGGAAGTAATACTCTTATCAGTCCCTGCTTCACTCTTATTCACTAATTATCTCAGAATTGAGGATTCTACTCTTTGCTTACTACTTCCCTCTGCTCACTCTCAGCCTAAAACTTCTTGTACTGATTTTATGACTTCTATATATCTTAGCTTCACAAACCTATAAATTCTATCAGGAAGGAAAGTATTGGGTTAAATGTAGCAAACAAACTATAATGGCCAGGAGACAGGGATGAAATCCATACAAATTGAAAAATTAAAGTGAGAAAAGTTTAGGCCAAAAAATTACAGGAGACAGAGACAAAACAATAAAATCAGATTAGTGGTTAGAATCTCTTCTACATGGAGAGAAATAAAATCAAACAAGGGAAATTAGCAAGTGAGAGATATACAAGGCAAAGAGTTAACAGAGTTCAAAGAGGATTTAATACCCATGTTTGTCAGTTTTAATTGTTCCTCCACCTTTACTTCTTTAATAGCAAGACCAAGGGGACGAGGGAGGGGAATACAGAAAATAGTTGTTATCTTTCCTGATATGGTCTCTGCTGTTGTGTTTGATTAAAATTTTAATATTTAACATGCTTTGCCTCTAACAACCAGCATGACTAGAAAAAAGCAATAAAAGAAAACAGATTTATTTTTCTGTAAGACACTGTCAAATAAGCAGGGTAGCAAAATTTCAGACAGCAAAAAAAATTAAAAACTTATTAGCATTTTCATTTAAAGAGAAAAAGTTACGAAAGAAAAAAAGACTAAAATTCTTACCAAGTACTTTCAATGGTGCCTTTTCTAGGTTCACAAGAGCTGTACCAAAGGGAATTGCTATTGTTGTGAAATTGTTGGAATCACTCATCAGGGGGCATTCTGGTAGAGTAAGATAAAATCTCAATGCTTCAACATCAGGTAAGGAGCTAGTCAGTTTAGGAATAAGATTCTTTTCCAAACTAGCTGCCACCTATATTTTGACAAAAAATAAAACCTACTTTATTTAAAATGAATGTACTTTCCAAAAAGAAGAAGAAAAATCATAAACACAGCAAACATGAAATGGTGAAAGAAATGTATCTTACAATGAATCACTGAATGTACTTTGAAGCACAGTGAAAATTAATGCCTAAGCATTGCTAAGAGCATTTTAAAAATCTTGTGCGTAAGTCTCAATTTAAATTCTCTCTAGCTATACCCCTATAAACCAACACGGTGATGTTAAGTATTAAAGGTCTACTCAAACATCTGGAGAGATTTACAGATATTTGATAGCTAAACTGTAAATTCTTTAAAATAAAACCTTATTTTAATTCTTGTATTAGCTTACATAAAAAAATCACAGAAAGCACATCACAATGAAACATTTGAAACTATAAAGTTAATTAGGCTATAAATACACAAAATAACATGGAATATAAAATTCAACAGGCTACATAACACAAATATAAAATACTTTAAGAACAAACCTGCTGAGATATCTGAGGATGATCAGGTTGTATAAGTTTGTGGAATAAAAGCCTAGCAGCATTCATATCAACCCCTGAAAATCTGGTGCCTGTTCTATAGTGATCATCATTGCTATAAAAGAAAAAAACAGAAAAAGAAGAGAGAGAGAAGAAAAATAATAAAGCCTTAAAGTTATTTCACTTATTTAATATATTACTTAATAAATTTTAAAAATTCCGTATACCAAAGAATTACCACTTACCTAACAGCTAGAAAGCTTCCATTTAGACAACCAGAGGAAGAAAACGTTCCGTCTATTTCACTAAAAAGAAAGTTAAAAATCCCCAAATCACAAAATGAGAAATCTACTGTTCACATTTTTTAATCAAAATATTTAATATAATATTTAATGCCACAGAGCACTCCTCTAACCAATACTCAACCAGTATAAATCAAAATTTTATAAATTACTAAATTACTAAGGATTAAAGTAATACTGCTTACCCTAGACTTTCTCAAATTCATCAGACTAATCCTATGTTCGTTCCTTCTTTTTTTTTTTTTTTTTTTTTTTAAAGATTTTATTTATTTATTTGAGAGAGAGAGAGAATGAGAGATAGAGAGCATGAGAGGGAAGAGGGTCAGAGGGAGAAGCAGACTCCCCGCCGAGCAGGGAGTCCGATGTGGGACTCGATCCCGGGACTCCAGGATCATGACCTGAGCCGAAGGCAGTCGCTTAACCAACTGAGCCACCCAGGCGCCCTCCTTCTTTTTTTTTTTAAAGCCTACAGCACCCAGTATTCCCAGGCGGTCTCCCATCCAAGTACTAACCAGGCCCGACCCTGCTGAGCTTCCGAAATCAAAAGAGATCAGGGGCATTCAGGGTGGTATGACCACAGACACAAATCTGATGTTGTTAAAAAAACATTTTTTTTACATAAACATATACATTTAATTTTCTTAATTATACATGATGGTAAATCTAACGTAGGATGTTATTTTTTTTTGAAGTCCACTCTTTGGCTTTTAAGAAAAATTTTAATTTGGGAAAACAATCTATAATTAAAAAACAGCTTCTCAGATATAGTCCCTCATCCCCAAAACCAATGCTACCTGCAGTAACAGAAAACTCTAACTACTAAACAAGTTAATCTATAAGCAAAATATTCAAGAAAGATTTAATACTTAAGTCTTTTAGGGAGTATAAAAGTTAAAAGACAGTGAACACTAGGAAGCTAAGAAGTAACATTATTTTAAATGCAATCCTAAAGTGATTGTGTTTAATATTTTATCATTTAATATTATGTATATGAAAGAATTACAACATATATAAATTCAAATGAGATCTCTTAAAATATCCATTATTATAGAAATTCTAGACATTTAAACTTATGTATGATTTTTTTTTGGTGAGTGATATTAATAAAATATTTATTAAAATAAAAACTTCTAAGTATTTTTACTTCTAAGTACAAGATAGCACTCCCATGTAGGTAAAAGGTTGTGTTTGTGTTGTGTAGGTAAAATGTTTTTCTTACTTGGCTATCTCCACAGGCAACCTTCCAGAGGGGTAGCTCAGCCATTTTTGAATTAGAGCTTCATTCACAGTCCAGATCTGCTTCGAAGGATCAGGACATCTAAAGTCATCTGGTGGTCCACAGTTCTAAATTTAAAATAAGTAGATTAGCAGGAAAGAAGATATATATATATATATAACTTACACCAAGGCATGTCTCCACTATGTATTTAGGTTTTTTTTTTAACAGAATATATCTCTACTAAATACCTGAAACAATACTTATCAACTAGATCAGAAAAATTCTGTAGACTTGGGGGCAAAAAAATTTAAGGCAATTACTTTGTAACATACAAAGAACATTAATATGGGCTTTAAAAATTCTTCAAAGTTATTTGAGCTCAGTAATTATTTGTATGACTACTCTTACCTGGCGATTAGAATAATGTGAAAAGCTTTGATCTCCCCCTGAGAAAATTCTTTTCACACAGAAATATTCTTCAGAATCTGTAATAAAAATAAGATGTAAAGAAATTCAAGATTTATATGACATTTTCAGAGCATCAAATATGCTACTGGATTTTCTCTTAATAATCTAACTCAATTAGACCTCCCATTCAGCTTTCAATGATATAAAATGACTTGGAATATTTTGATTACTATGGAAATGAGATTGACCAAGTGATACACATTGAATGATTCCATAAGCATAAACAGCACTTGGTAAGTTTGCCAAGTCTTTCTTCTGGCTTACACAAAAAGGTGGTGTTTTCTAGTCTGTCTTTTTTATCTCAATATATTTTACTTTAAACTGAAGATGATGTAAAAGTGAATGAAGGGTATAAAAGACAGCTCAGAAGAAAATAAAAATTAAGAATATTCATTTTTTGGGGGCGCCTGGGTGGCTCAGTCGTTCAGCGTCTGCCTTCGGCTCAGGTCATGATCCCAGGGTCGTGGGATCGAGCCCCGCATCAGGCTCCCTGCTCCGCGGGAGGCCTGCTTCTCCATCTCCCACTCCCCCTGCTTGTGTTCCCTCTCTCGCTGTCTCTCTGTCAAATAAATAAAATCTTCAAAAAAAAAAAAAAATGAGGGAGGCAACAATGTTGTGTTTAAAAAAACCAGAGTATTCATTTTTTTAAAAGAATGAAAACAAACAAGTAAATGTTAAAACTTCCTGAGTAAAATACTTGATAATGCAAAATTATTTTCTTTTAATATAGCTGTACAAAAGTAAGATGACACACAGAGCTCTTCATTGATAACTATTTTATCAATAAAACCCAAATTCACCGCCTGGGTGACACAGTCAGTTAAGCCCCGACTACTCTAGGTTTCTGTTCAGGTTGTGATCTCGAGCCCTATGTCAGTCTCTGTGCTCTGCTCTCAGTGGGAGTCAGCTTCTGCTTAAGACTCCCCCTCTGCACCTCCCCCCACCCCTCTCTCTCTCGAAAAAAGAAACCTTAAAAAAAAAAAATTCAGTCCAAAAAAATTAATAAGCATATTTAGTAGCAGTAAAATTAAGACAATAAAGTTCTTTTTCAAAAAGATATTTGATGCATCTTCCTTTCTTTTTTTTTGCTTCTCAAAATGGAAGGAGTATCTATTATCAAAAGTACTGCGGGGAGTGGGGGAGAGTACTGCTTGGCTAGTACTCAGAGGTATCACATACCAACACATCAAAGCCCAATACTGTAACCTAAGGCTCATTATTTCCAAATATAACACATTTCTGTCATCCTACTCCTGACCCCCACACCACCCTTTAGTTTACTAGTTCTTTACCTTGTATTATTTGTGACCATGGCTGCTACAGAATTATACATTCTTAAGGAAGGACCACATCTTAATTTCCTTGATTATTCCTTACTACCAAGCACAATGTTTTATTTGCAAAAGAACTCATTAAACATTTGTTAACATCAATATATAATATGAAGCAATATATACCTAGCTTAGAACATACTAAGAACCTCAGAGTTCAGAACATTAACATGACTAAATTTTTCACAAGTACCAAGAATGCTCTAGATCAAAAATAACTTTTAAGAACAGATTAAATGGGTAAATCTAAAATATTAAATAAACTAATGATTCCACTTAAAATCTTTTCTCTACATCATTTTCACAAATCTAAATGAAATCGTTCGCTTCCTTAAAAGATTTAGCAGGATGTTATTCATTTATCCCTAAAATGTGATTCTGCTCTCTATAAATAATCAAGAAGGATGAGTACAGCACATGAATAGGTTTCTTGGGAATATGAGGAAGGTACCAAAAATTATTTTTCTTAATTTCCTTTTAATCACTACTCCAAAAAATTTACATAATCTAGTTATCTGTCTTATACAGCTTCTTGCAGACTGAATTTTGCTAATTGTATCCTCGAGGTTTCTCCTCACATTTTTCTTGGTCTTCTGTACTTCCTGTAAATTGGTAGTTGGATCTAGAAAGGCTTTAATTAAAGTCTGATAGTTTTAACAAAACTATTACAAGGTGGTAGTGGGGGCTGTTCTTCTATCAGGAAGCACATAATGGGTGGCTGGGTTCCTTTCTGCAATGTTAGGAACCACTGACGCTCAGTGCTTAGACTATTAATTCATTGTGGGTTGAAAAATGATGATATGCAAACATTACACATTACTTCCTCATCTTGTAGCTGGCCCATTAGCTTCCCAAACTACAGAGTTTGTTACCCTGTAATAGGAAAAAATTAACTCTTGATCTTTTCATTTGCTCTTGCCTTTTAAACCTGCATTTCTTTGATACTAAAGAGGATAATAATTTTTCTTTATTTTTTAAAATATTTTATTTATTTATTTGACAGAGAGAGAGAGCACAAGTAGGCAAAGCGGCAAGCAGAGGGAGAGGGAGAAGCAGGCTCTCCACTGGGGCTCGATCCCAGAACCCTGGGATCATGACCTGAGCCAAAGGCAGACACTTAACCGACTGAGCCACCCAGGCGCCCCAACAATAATTTTTCTTAAAGATTTATTTATTTAGAGAAAAAGAGAGTGCATGAGCAGGAGGAGGGGGAGAGAATCTCAGCAGACTCCCCGCCAAGCGTGGAGCCTCACACGGGGCTGATCTCACAACCCCGAGACCATGACCTGAGCCAAAATCAAGACTGACTGAGCCACCCAGGTGCTCCAAGAGAGTAATAATTTTTGCGTGAGTTTTAGTAACATGAATTTCCTCTTTGAGCATTTCCATTAATTTCCTTTAACTATTAAGTGTGTTAATGTTTGTCTTATTTATTTATTAGGTGCCTCCCTGTTTTTCTCACCAATATGTATGAGCACTTTGGATATTCAGGCTAATTAATCCTAGGCTGTATTTGCTACAACAATTTTTCTTAAATATTTAATTTTGACTCACAGATTTGTTTTTCCATTTAATCAAATGTATTTATCTCCTCCTTTATAAAGACTTTCATTGCCATAATGCTGAGAGAGGCTTTCCCATTTCATGTGTGTGTGTATTTTTTTTTTTTTTTAAGTAATCTCTACACCCAACGTGGGGCTCCAACTCACAACCTCGATACCAAGAGTCACATGCTCTTTCAACTGAGGCAGCCAGGAGCCCCAAGGCTTTTCCCATGTTTGAATCAGAGAATTATTTTCTTAAGAACTTTTAAACATTTAATTCTTTAATCCTTTATACCTTAGTGTTATAAACTATTAGGTTATATATATAACTCAGGTTAGGATCTAAACTGACCTTTTCTCCCCAATTTTCATGTGCTGAGTAATTCTCCCTTCTCAGATTAGTGATGCCTTGTTTTAAAGTTATGAAAAGGCACTATCTCTTCCACCTATAACCACAATGCTAAAAAATTCTGACACTCTTCTCTACCAAAGCGTTCTCTCAAAGTCCTTGAGAATATATATCTCCAAGAACGATTACCAAGCAACTAGAGTTTGAATTTGAAATAAAACTTATATACAATGTAAGTCATATATACACCTTATAGAATATTATATTCTTATATAAGGTATAATATACCTCATATAGGGTACGTGTGTGTGTGTATATGTATATATACACACACACACACACACACTTATATAGGGTGTAATATAAATATTATATACAATACCTACATGGAATTTCCCTTCCCCTGGACTTCCCATTAAATTCTAATGATCTGAATATCTATACACATACCAGTAATCTGATTTGTTATAGTTTTATATAGTACATATTGTCATATCTAGGAGGGCTATTTCACGTTCTCCTTGCTCTTTACAAAATACTTTTTACATTGTAAGAAAAAATTGTTAAGACTTTGAAACAGGGCTCCCTACCAATACTAAGCCCTGATTAGAGCATCCTTCAGGAATTGCCGAAAGGTGTTACTGAGCTACTTACTATTCTGTAAATTGTACTTCTATTTAGGAGCAGTACTGACAGAGATAGAACAATGTACGTGTTCTTTTTTTTTTTTTAAAAGATTTTAGGGACTCCTGGGTGGCTCAGTCAATTAAGTGTCTGCCTTTGGCTCAGGTCATGACCCTGGGGTCCTGGGATTGAGTCCCACATCGGGCTCCTTGCTCGGCGGGGAGTCTGCTTCTCCCTCTGCCTGCCGCTCCCCCTGCTTGTGCTCTCTCTCTCTCAATAAATAAGTAATTTTTTGATGAAGATTTTATTTATTTGCCAGAGAGAGAAAGAGAGCATGCATACAAGCAGGGGGCGTGGCAGAGGGAGAGGCAGGCTCCCCAATGAGCATGGAGCCCAATGCAGGTTCAATCCCAGGACCCTGGGATCAGGACCTGCGCAGAAAGCAGACACTTAACCAACTAAGCCACCCAGGTGCCCCCTTGTTTTTTTTTTTAAAGATTTATTTATTTTAGAGAGAGAAGAAGCACGCAGAGCTGGGAGAACAGCAGGGGGACCTTCAAGTAGATTCCCCACTGAGCGTGGAGCCCAATGCAGGGCTCGATTCCAGGACCCTGAGATCATGACTTGAGCCAAAATCAAGGGTTGGATGCTTGACCGAGTCACCCAGCACCCCTAAAACTACAAAAATTTTAAAATACTGACTCATTTAAAGATGAGCAATAATGAATGTACTACATGTTAACAAATATAACATCTTAGTATTAATACGAAAGCCATTTTGATTTCATGAACCTTCTGAGACAACACCACTATCCTGAAGCAAGTCTGTTTGCTTTAGAATATGAAAGAACATAAATGAAGACAATGGAGCAAGTGAATTTTATTTGCTTGGTTTATATTTGACTCTGAAAAGAAGCTATAAAATGTGTTAACATCTTAGCAAATTTCATTTAATTTTGAAGGGTGTGCTCCTATGGTTTAATGACTAATGCCTTCACCTATGATATAAAATGTTATTCTTTACTTTTTGTGTAATCTGCTAGACAGCAAAAATTCTGTGTCTTATTAGAATAATCTTCAATACTTTGTTGACTTCATTGTCTTTCATTATTTAAGGGGGAAAAAAAACAAATGTTCCTCAGTTTTGAAAGAGCTAAAAGTTCTTTTCA